ATTACAGGTATCCTAACCCAATTGTTAGTAACAGTTGCTATAATACGAATATTACATAGGTGATTATCCAAATTTTCACCATCGATGGAATTTGAACACCCAACCTACCACTTGGAGGGTTGACAACCTAACCACTTCACTAGGTCGCCACACCCCTTTTAATTTTGTATTTTTAGACAAACTTTATTATATATATAAATATATTTTTTAAAATAATAAAATAGTTCAAAATAGAAGATAGTGATTTTAGCATACTAGTTGGATTGTTATTTTTAAAACAGTAAGTTTAGTATTTAAATCTTATTAGCAAAAAAATTTTAAAAAATAATTCTATTTTAACAAACTTATTTATAATTTAATCTTGTTTTAATTATATTAAGACTAATTTTGAAAATGTATAATATTATATAAATAAATCTGAAAAGTATATATTTGAATAAAAATTTGCTTAAAAATTCTAAATAAAAAAGTAGTATAACTTTTAATAATATCACTTATAAAAAACTTAATTTAGAAAAAAAAATCTAAAGCAAGTATGTTATATTGACAATAATCTCTAACTAGAAGGTTTATTAACTAGTTATTAGTTAATCTAAACATAAAATTGCATTATATAAAACTAACTAAATTGGTAATATAAAAAAACTTACAAAAGTAAACAAAATATTAGTCAAATTATAAAAAAAAAAGTACTAAGATTGTATAAACTTTACAAAAGTTTAAAACTAGATTAGTTGTAAATAAAAATACAGAAAACTTCAATAATGATGTCTTAAAAATGAACTGTTTTCTAAAAATATAAATAAGTATTTAAATTTTTTTAACTAATATTAGTAAAAAAAATGATTTAATAATATAATAAGAATTGCAATATAGAAAATTTAAATAGACAATATTTGTAATTGGATTGCAAGTATAATAACTAATATAGAACCTATATATAGACAAACTACTTAAATTAGATATCAAAAATATATATATAAATAAATATATTTTTTAATATAAAATAGTTTTTTTAAGCTAATTAACTGTAAGCTATTATATTTATTATATTAAATAAAAAAAGAATATTTATAATTTATACTAAGGGTTATTTATATCAAGAGTGCTATATCTCAATAAATTGATTAAGAAATAAGAGTCAGGTAGGTTAAGTAAAAAATGTTCAGAACTCCCAAAAACCTCATGTAATCTAAAAATTGAACTATTATATTTAATCCCTAAATTGCATTCTAATTTTAATTTTTAACAAAAAAACTAAAAACAATTATAAAATAGAAGAAGGTTATCAATAACCTCCAGTATAAAATACATTTTTTCATAAAAAAACTTTAGTTACAGAAAAACTAGTTTAATATAAAAATAAAAAATAAAAATAAAAAAATATTTTAAAATTTTATTATAAATAAATAATTTTATTAATTAATAAAAAATTTTATAATATTATAAATTAAAAAATAAAAAAGTTTGTTAATAATATATTTTATAATTATTATATTAAATTTTTTTTATAACTAATTATATAAAAATGATTTATGTTATACTCTACTTTAAAATTAGTAATATTATAACTAATATTGATAACAATAAATAAATAAAACAATAAAATAAAACAATAGAATTTAAAATAAAATAAAATTTTTGTTTATAAAAAAAATTATTAATAAAATTATAATTAAATATGAATATAATAATAAATAAATAGAACAATAAAAGGTTTTTTATATAAGTAAACCACTTTAAAAACTTAGTAACTATGATATATTTTTTACTAATATTAACTAAAATCATTAATATATGTAAATAGATAAGTAGATATGAGAACTAGAATGTTTAAATAAGAAACTTAGACTACTTAAATTAGACAATGACTAAAGTTGTACAAATGACTAGTTGTACACTCTTTCTATAGTTGCCTTCTGTAATTGTAATACAATTATTAGCTAAATATACTATTAATAAAATCCTGAGTCGCAAGTACTCATCTTAATATATAAAAAAAAAAAATAAAACAATAAAATAGAGCAATAAAAATAAAATATAACTTTTATCAATAGAATAAAAAATTGACAACACTGATTATAACTACCCAAGTGACATTAATAGATTTTTACTGATCGACAATTTTTTTAAAATCATAAAACGTTACATTAGAGCTAGGTTTATAATTATAATGATAATTTTTTTATACTAAAATTCTTCGAAAAAGTTTTTTTACTAATGCGTTGAAGATGGTTACATAGACGACATTTTGAGTTACGGCGGTTTTTTAAAAAATGTTAGTTTTGTTTTGATTATGTTGTACCTGATCTTGTAATCTAATTGGTCAATCGCTGTCGATCAGTGAAAATCTGTGGGGTACTTGGAAGCACTTGTAACATTATTAACTAAACCTTAGTTATGTTCTCTTTTGTCCAGGAAATTTTTGAATACATAAATTAGGTAGGAATATAATATAAGTAAAAGCTAATAGGAAATTTATTCTGCTACCATTAAATAATGAATTAGCTTAAGTTAGAACATAACCTAGTAAAGATATTGAAACTAGACTTGACTGTACTTATTTGCACTGTAACACAACCCTTATATAGAATAGTTCGATATGTTCAAAGCGAAAATAACCAATTTAGCATGAATGAGTAAATTACAAGCCAATATAATAACATGGATTGAAGCTGGTATTTTCCATATATAAAAAAGGATGTATTTACGTAGATGCAACCCTAGTATTAATAGATAATTGGTTTCACCTTATCGGAAAATAACGAAATAACCTCCGACAGCACGTATCACCGGAAATAGTACCGATACATACACACTCACATATGTGCAACTTCTACTACTATAAACTGTTATTCTCCAAATTGCGGTCAACCAATACTATAAATGGTGGTTCCTCGAATTGCGGTTATCATGTCCCGATAAGTAATTGATTTGTCAATGTAAAAATCAGGCCACCATATATAATCTAACAATCGATAATACTACATTGATAAAATTAATCAATTATAAGGCCAATCAAATTCAAATTAATACTCACACCACTTTTTTTTTTAAAGAAGTACAATAGAAATTATTTAACTTAATAAATGTTATAAAATGCCTTTAATTTCAACTTCAGGAGTGTTATCGTTATATTCTGACAAACAATTAACTACCGAAATGGCTGAATCCGATTCTTCGCTTAATGGGTCTACAGACCTTCAAGATTTATTAATGTGCGAGTCCTATATCGATGATATTATGTCCACGATTAATAACAACCCTTCTACTGCTCAATCGCCTACCGCAACTTTACCTGAATTTGAAACTCAACTTCAATCGATGCTCGTTAATAATAACACGAAAGATTCTTCATCTCAATTGAACGATTTGTTGAACAGCTTCCAATATCCAGCTCCTTTTTCAGACATGCTTTCCTTGAGTTCTCCAAAGCCTTTTTTATATTTACCCGATTCCACCTCTCTTGATAATATATGCCCCGAGTCTATGCAATATTCGTTAACTTCTGACAACAACTCCATAGCAAATATCTGTTCTCAAGAACCTTTTCTATTCTCTCCAAACTCTGCTAACTTTGATAATATCAGTACTTCGAATCCTTTATATTATTCGCCAAACTCTAGCGAAATCTCCGAAGACATCAGTTCTCCGGATACTCTTTCTCCGTTAAATTACACTCTCTTTCAAGATTTAAATGTTTCTCCAACTAACTCTGCATTGGCTGACTTTGGCAGTTACTCTTCTCCAACGGAAAATACATTTGACGCCCTATTACCCTCAGGGTTCAATATTGACCCTATAGACGTCCAATCTGAAAATAATAGAAAACGCGTTTCCATTGGATACGACTCTGTTTCTTCAGATGAATCTTCAAAAAAGAAACGTAAAGGTGCAAATGGATACGTTAAATCCGCAAAAAAGACAAATGCTTACGTCAAATCTACAAAAAAAATCGGTTCTAATAAAAATGGAACAAATCCTGATATCAATGCCACATTTGAAGAAGATTATTCACCATCCAAATCTCCCGTAATTGATATGGAGACTATTAAGGCGTTATTTGCTTCTTTATCTGACACCGCGAATCGAACCGCCGAACCTTTTGACACTAATCTTGTTCAAGATGATCATTCTGACGAAGAGGATGAAAGCACGCCCTCCGATACCAAGTTATCAACGCCTCGCGCCAAATCTCCGACTGCAACTTCTCAAAACTCAAAACCATCAGCAAACAAGCAACAAAAGAAGCTTGCTCACAATGTGATTGAGCGTCGTTATCGAAATAATATTAATGATCGAATTAATGATCTGAAAAGTGTAGTTCCCGCACTTTGCCATTTGAAAAGCAAAGATGATGACGTAATTGAAGAAGTGGATGGCATTCCGGCTGCTACGAAAACAAATAAAGCTACTATTTTAAAAAAAGCAACCGAATACATTGTGCATCTAAAAAAGAGTAACGAAAAGTTTAAAAACGAAAACGACATTTTAAAAAAGATTATTTTAACTATTCCTGGTGGTATCGAGTTATTTGAAAATTATCTCACAAATATTGGTGATGATATGAAAACTCCGCCGGCTACTCCTCCTTCTGAGTTTAATGTTCCATATAAATATAAATCGCCGACTCCTGGAAATGCTGGTTCAAGACTATTAATGTCATTTTTCATGTGCATGACTTTTCTTACGGATATATCACAATATGCTCAATCGACTCCACATCATCATGGTGAAGGGCGTGTTATTGTTAGTAATACTACCGAATCAGTAGTTCCAGATGGAATTTATAATTCACAAGATGGCATGACGATCAATATCTGGTATATATTAAATTTTTATTCCTTTTATTATCTCCCTCTTGTTATTATCATTATCATATAAAACTTACAAGTTATGTTATTAAATAGGTATTTGGCCAAGATCTTTACTTTCCTTATGTGTTTCACTTATGTTATTTGGCCATCCTTGTTTTCAACCAAAACACAACCCACCCGCAAATCCGCTATAAATTCGGTTTTATCTTCCAAGGTTAAAGATGCAACGGAACTTTACACGTCTCTTTCTCACCTTACGAATATTTCATTAATGAGTACTTTGGGATTTGTAATTGGTCTTTTTATTGAATCTTTAAGATTGTTTTTAAGAAGATTTTTGAGCTGGGAAATTTCATGTGGTTATGTTAATGTAGAAGCGGATGAAAGATTGTTAGAGGTTGAATTATGGAACAGACTCGGTGAAGTAGAATTATGTGGTGGTGAGTATTTTATAATATAAAATTATTAATTGATATATGATATTATTATTTACAATCTAACATTTTTATCATTTTTTAAGGAAACAAATGTGCATCCAATCTTTCAGTCTTATACACATGTCTTCGAACGATTAATCTTCTGGAAAGTCCTTACACTTATCACAGGAAAATGCGTATCAGCTCTTCTCGTATTTATGCAAATGCTGCATTACAATGCCATGTTGGCCTCCGTTCAGTTCCCTTTTTATCCCGTAGAGCTGTATCTCATTTCTGGAAACTGGCTATTAAAGAAAAAGGCCGATTCAACCCTGAAGAAAAATGGCTTAAAATTGCGCTTATTAGCGACCAAAATAACGGCATATGGGAAAGTGCTGCAAATAGGATCTGTGATCATGTCTTCAATTTATCAAAAAGCGACAAGGCTCTTAAACCTATTATTAGCACAAATATTCCTCTTACTTATATTTCTGAAATTCAAGCGCTCCTTCATATTAAGGAAGCCTTTTCCAATCTTATTTCTGAACGACAGGGCACGAATAAGATTTTAAAGGAATGCAAATTTACCTTCTCTGAACTTTTCGAAATTACCACACCTGCTTCCTTAATGCATTGGTATGCATTGGTTGGATGTGCTGTCCAGGCTTTTCATGAGGGTAAAAATGATTCTGGTGTAAAACTGATAAACAAATTGAGGGAAGAATCAAGGATTAATGACAACTTGAGTAAACGAATTATTACCGTGGGTTTACTTTCTCGATCTCTCTTGATTTGTGGTAAGGTTGAAGCTTCCATTCATTGTGCTGATAAAGCTTCCGACTATCTATCTTCACGAAAAGGTGAAAAAACAGAAGCTACAGACATTGATAAGGATTTGGTGATCGGAGAGATTTTAAATGATGTTCATGATCTTGCAGAGTTTTGTGTTGGATGGATTGTTTTAGAAACAAGAGTTGTTGGACTGGGAATTATCGGACATTTACTATCAAAAAATAATGGTGAAGCATTATCAAACATACTCAACGAGAAACATTTAAGATCTTCCATTGACGTTTGGGCCCGTTATCTACGCCGATCATCAAAATCTAGTGTATTTGACAGCATCCCAAAGTCACGAGAAAGATTTATAAGGAAACTTGACCTTCTTGGAAGAATTGTATCTGGCATCGATGATAATGACTCTGGGTGTGATTGTGATTACGATAAACAAAATATTAATGAGTATAAAGCCACAAGAGCCATGCGTGTCTTAAAGGGCATGTAAACTCAAAATTGCATTTTTCTATATCTCTCTTAAGCATTATCATTATGTATATATTTCTTTTTGTATCGTAAAAATTGAAATATTTTGTAAAAAGATTCATATTGTGAATAAGTACCCCCTCCCACGTTTTATTATATCTCGAAATAAGTACCTGCATTTTTATTTTACTCGAATAAGTATTAACTTTCCGTCTTATTATTCGAAAGAAAACTCATATTTCATTTTTAATATATGCGAAAAAAATTATTTCATTTTTAATATATGCGAAAAAAATTATTTCATTTTGATATAAATATAATTTTCCACGTTAATTACATTCGAAAGAAAATGCGCATTTTATTCTTAACATATTCAAAAGAACACGAGTTTTATTTTAATACACTCAAAAATATGACCATTATCTTTCAAGGTTCAATTTTATTAAGCTAGATAAGAAAATTTGTATAAAAAAAAAAATTTTAAATAAATAAACTACACTAGACTGAATAAGAAACTTAAGAATTTCGGCATACATATAAATCAACTTTTAGTTTTTAGTTAGATGTGTATGGCTATTGTTTAAATCAATTATAGAATCTGTCTCACATTGTATAATAAATTTTAATATCGCAAATTCTCAAAATAGCAAATTGCTGCCCTCAAAAAAAACAAATATAGTATATGTGGATTCGAAATAATGCCCATGCGTGCCTTGAAATAACGTGCGCATTCTAAAAAAACTGGTTCGGAATTAGGGATTTAAAAAAAGGTCCGGCTCTTAAAAAGTCCGGTTCAGAACTAGTTCACAAACCGATCTCATCCAGCAGTTTAATATACAATATAGATAATTTTGAGGTACGCATCACTTCACAATCATTTCTCGGAAAATCGCGAGTCTGTCGCTAATCTATTTCAATTCTACGGCGGTTAAGTCGAAACAGGCGTGTTAGATTTGCTGGTGGGTTCTTGTCCGTAGGTAAGTATTGGTCTCCTCTTTGAGTCTTTCCTTCAACCTATTCTTGCACTAATTTTTGTCTTCTCTTGTCTGCCTCAACCCAGATTACACTACGTCGAATCGGGTTGGAACTCTTCTCTTACGTTAACGGCCTTCTTGGTCATGTGACTTAATGCGAGCGTTCAATTACAGTTTAGTGGTTTTTGGGCGAACGATTGTATTAGTAATGTGATTAACGATAGTTTATTAGTTTGGATATGATAGCTCTTTCACTTTTATTATGGGTCGGGTACTTAGTTTTATGTATGCAAATATATTTACTTGAGGGTTGTCTCTCTTTTTTCCTGGGTGAGAACTTTATTTATAATAAAAGAATTATTTACATTTGAGGTTAATTTCCTTTACATTACTTATTTACATAATATTGTTGTTAAAACCCTTATCCCTACTATTATAAAGAAGAAATGGATTTTCTATATATCGTCAATCTACCCAAAGCAATAAAAGTAATAGAAGTAAAAATGTGAACATTTAGAAACTTGAGGGGTAGCTACTGACACGGGTGAAATGGCAAATCAGTCGCTTCTCGGTGAGATATGTTGTGTAACCTACAAATGGCTTAGTTGATAAGAGGTGTGTTAGATTTGTCAAGTTGATTATTTATGATTGTAGGTATTATAATGTAGTGAAAGTAGAAAAGTATTAAGGTAAAATTTTATTACAAGTACAAATTCTTTATTTTTGTAGGGTTTGAAGCCTTTTTTATATATTGTTCTATTACATATGCCTTTCTAAAAGTATTAAACTTATTAAAAATATTATCTTTACCATATTCTTTTAATATGCTATATTACTTAAAACCCTTACTGATTATATAACCCTTTAATTATAGTTCTTCTTTATTTCTTCCATTATTTTTATTACCTTTATACACTCTAATAGTTTTAAATGGTTTTTTTTAGAATCAATAATTCTGAGAAGCCTATATTAGATAGATAATCAACTTAGCTGTTAATTGTTATTGTGTCACATCAATTATCTTCTTTTACATGCTTTTAGGATTATGTTTTTACAGCTCATATTTCTTCTTTACTTAGTTTATATGTATTATGCATATACATGTTAGACAAATCCAGATAAATCTCAAACTTAGATAGGTATTTAGTAATCTTTTATTTATTTTTTTATTTTTTTGGTTATAATAATAGAAATGTTTTTCTTCAGAATTCAATGCTATTGAGTCTAATTCAAACAGAAATAAGTACAGAATATTTTTTATTTATAATTCTTTATTTCAGCTCTAATATAATTATTTTTTTTTATTTTGAACTTATTATCTAATACAGAGATCACTTCTTTGAAGATCTATTTTAATATCTTTTTGACGGACTTTTTTTTGTTATTTTGTCATTAGTTACATAATTTTAAGTGCATATTATTAAATATTTTTGATTTTTCCTATTTTTTTTATTAATATTTTAAATTTTTATATTAATTATTATAAGCTTTGTCTAAGTTTTTTAACTTGAAATATTAATAACTTTGTGTATTAGAATTCTTATTTTTAATAGTTCTTTAAAAATATTCAAATACTTCATATTTGATCTTTTCAACTTCAATTTCATTATTTTTATTATTTATGATTTTAGTTCTATTGTCATATTTATTATATAATATATTATTATTATTAACATTATTATTATTGTTATTATTGGTTTTTTAGTCATGTTTAATATTTAAATATTCATATGTTTAAGGATGTTTACAATATATATAAACTCTAAAAATTAATATATTAATTTAAAAAATAGATAATTATATATTTTTTAAGATATTTAACTAGCCTCTTTTGGAACTAAAGTTTTTATTCAGTAGTTAGAACATAAGAACTTATGACCAAGGCCTCAAAAGAGTCACCTTACATTAAAGAGTACAACTAGTCACACATATACTTTTGATATCTAATTTAAGTAGTCTGCTAATAGTTCTATACTAGTCGTCATATTTGCAATTTAACTAGGAGCATTGTCTATTTAAACCTTCTGTACTATAATTTTTACTGTATTACTAAATTATTTCTAATATATATATTAGTTAAAAAGGTTTAGATATTTTTACTTATACTCTTAGGACCTTATACCTTGTTTCATACAATATATTCTTAGAAACATCATTACTAGAGCCTTCTGTGTTCTATATATAGCTGACCTAGTTTTATATAATATGTTATAGTTATCTAATACTTACAGTTACAAGGATTATTTGTTTAACTACTATGTTATATTATTACTACTCTTATAAAGTTTATTCAAACCTCAATATCTATCTTTTTGATTTCTTTTTTTCATTCTTTTACTATTTGACTTAGAATCTAATAGACTTTTCAAACTTCCAATTTAGATAGTCCAGTACAATATATCTTTGGTATTTTTTTTTCTAGCAATTTTAGTAGCCTAGTTAGTCATATGTTTTTCTATATATATTTTCATCAAGTTGCATATTTATCTAGAGTTTTCTGAGCTTTTATCAGTTTAATAGTATTATTAAAAGTTTGTATTACCTTTTTACTCAGAAATTTCTAAATAGAATTTTGTCTTCTTGGTTTTTTGATCTTTTATATCCAATGGTCTTATCATAAGTTTGTATCAAAGTCTTATGCAATACTAGTTATTAACATTCCTCTATATATATATAATATTATATTTTATATAAATGCTCTAAGCTCTCAATAATGAGTAGAATCTAATTGATTATACTTAAGATTACAGATATCTAAATCTAACTAATTAACAAGAAACAGTTTTTTTATAATACAGCTTAATTTCCAAATTTCATTATAAGTAAGAATGAACCTTAGACCTGTCACTTAAAAGATAACAACCTAATCACTACATTAGAATTACTATCTTTATATTAAATATTTTTATTTAAAAAATTAAAATAGATTAACTTAATAGAATTTTAAGTAATTTTAATTTATTTATTTGATTAAAAAATATCTAAAAATGTCTAAACTATGTTTATAACTGTCTTATATCAATATTGATTATTATTGTCACTGTTATTATTATTTAATGCTTAATAATTTTCTTTTTTAATTTTAGTTTCTTTTTTATAATAAGATCAAATATAATAGATTTTATTAATATTTCTTATTTTTGCAAATTGTTAATAATATTTGAAGGTTTTATATTTATTATTTTTAACTTTAATTCTATTTTGACAATATTCATTAATGTTTATTATATTTTTTTTAGCCTTAACATGTTCTTTTCTACTAAATCTTTTTTTTTTTTTCTTAATATTACTTTTTAGCAAAGATTCTAGAACTTCTTTTAAGATCTATTTTTCTATAAGAGTTTTATATTCAGTAACTAATTATCAAAAAAGATGTTTTAAGTTAAAAGATTTTTTTGTAAATTCATCAAGATCATTATAGACATTAGATACTATAGGTATTGGTGGTTAAGATGGATTTTTTTTCTTTATAAAAATATATAAAAATAAATATATAATATTTTTTATAAGTTTTTGTAGTATGATATTTATAATATACAAATAAAAGTAATTATAAGAAACAAGTTTATATAAAAGTAGATATACAATTTCTTCTTGTTTGATATTGTTATTTAGATTGTTACCAAATTAACATTTTTTAAAATTTTTAAAAAACATTTCAGAACATGTAAACTATTAAAACTATGATTCTTTATAATTTTATTAACTATTTTCTAAATTTTTATAATTTGTTTTTTGGTAAATACATTCAACAACTTAAACATTCAAGTTGTAACTTTTTTTTTTTTTTTTTAAAAAATATTAACGATGAGGCATTCTCTATCTCTTTTATTAATTAGTTAATTATACAAATATATAAGATACATGTTGAAAAAACTATACTAGGAGAAATGGAGGTAAGAGCTACTTTACTCTTGACCTATTCTTTACTAGAATGGTCGATAAATCTCTAGTCTTTAATAAGCTAATGGAATATAGAATCTGAGATTGGTGTAGTTTTAGTAAGAGTTGGTGGTTGTATAGGAGGTGGAATTGAAATAGCTGATTC